CTTTTGAAGAAATGAGTATACTTTGGAGACTACTTCTGGAGCTATATTTATATGATACTGAATTATACTGAAATGTTTAGAATTTTTCCTAATATTTAACTTGTAAAAACTTAGAAACAAAAGAGAACAAATGCATTTAAACATGAAGTTTTTATTTTGATTTTTTAGGGATTGTAAACTAACAGGTCTGTGTTCTAGGATTACAACTTAAAGCTTTAAACTGATTCTGTCTTTTTTTATAAACTGCTCCCACTGATTTGTTGGACTTGTAAACAAGAACATGCTCCTTTGAATTAAAGGCTGTTTTATATGTTTTACCACCAGTTTATACTTTAGATTAAAATTATATGTAAGAATCTGATAGAATAGCAGATGTGTGTCTAGGACCTTCAGATTCCTACCCTTGGCCGTGCCTCCTCCTCCTCCTCCTCCCATTTATCTCCAGCTTTCCGCCTCAACTGGCTCTCCCCCAGCCATTTGCTCTGGCCAAAGACACTCTGTCTGTCCACCCTGTGCCCTTTGGCCCAGTCCATTCACTGAAACGCTGTTTGTCCCAGGCCTTTGGCCACACGGGTCAGTTTGCTGCCAGCCAATTGGGTGGCAGACAGAAGCCCTGGTGCTTCTGCCTGCCAGCATGCAATATCTTGGGAGCTGTGGGGCTATGGGGGAAATGCGGCAGCCTAACGGCAGAGGCTCACAGCCTCAGACGCTTGTTAGGGTAAGGAAGGAAGGGGAGGGAAGAAGGGAGAGAGATTGCTTCCTGGCCCCAGCCCCATGGAAGGCAGCAAGCAGCTCCCATCTTCCATATCAGCTTCTCTCATCTCTCGTTTTTTCCCTCCTCAGTGTCACAGCCTGCCTGGATGTCTTCTCCCTCATCACCCCACTTGCAGCCTTTTGTGGGTCTTTTTTTAAAAAACTTTTTTCAGTCCCTTTTATTTTCTTTTTGAATAAACCCTACATATCCAGATCCAGCTGCTACCAAGATCCCCTTATCTGATCCTGCCTCCCTGACACTGAATGGGCAGTTGATAGCAGGGAGGTGACAGGGAAGCGGGGAAAAATGCACCAAAGCACTTTAAGATGGCTTAAGCAAGTTTTTATGTCCACCCCAAACATCTTAGCTTCACAGAAGTTGTGCAGTTGCATTTGTTGCTGCGACTTCCTTCCTGGCTGCCGTGTGCACACTGGCCCCTCTTCTGCTGCTGCCATGAGGTCGGCTGGGTTTGGTTGAAAGGGAAAAGCCGAGGAGGTGTTTGGTTCAGTAAACCAGGTGGCAATGGCTGACTTCATCCAAGGGAGTTTTTGTTTGGGGTGGGTATCCTAGAAGGAGGAAGAGAAAAGAGAGAAAGACAGAAAGACAGAGAGAGAGAAAGAAAGAGAAAGAAGGGAGAGACAAGAAAGAAAAGAAGGAAACAAAAGAAATAAGGAAAGAAAGAAAAAGGAAATAAAAAGAAAGGAAGGAAGAAGAGGGATAGATAAGAAAAGAGGGAGTGAGGGAAGAAGGGAAAGAAAGAAAGAAAAAAGGAAGGAAGAAAGTAAGAAAAAAAGAAAGAAAGAAAGAAAGAAAGGGAGTGAGAGAAGGGGAAATGAATGAGATATGGATGGATGGATGGATGGAGGAAGGGAGAGAGATAGAGAGAGAAAGGAGAGGAAGGAAAGACCACAAATCTTGGCACAAGATGTGGCTTCAAAAGACGCTTTGAAATAGTACAATAACCCAGGGCTGGAAGGGACTTCCGAGGTCATCTAGTCCAACTCCCTGCTCAAGCAGGAAACCCTTATGGAATCATGGAAAAACCGAGTTGGAAGGGACCCAAATAACCCAGATGATATAAGGTCTCCTGCTTGAGCAGAGGACTAAATTGCCTCCAAGGAGGTTCCTTCCCTTCATCCTTCCCAAAGAAAAATAAAAGAAACATAAATCCCCACAAAAGGCTGAAAGAGGGGCAGTGAGGGAGAAGACATCCAGACAGGCTGTGACATTGGGGTGGGAAAGATGAGAGAAGGTGAGATGGATGATGGGAGATGCTTGCAGCCTTCCATGGGGCTGGAGCCAAGACGTGATCTCCCTCCCTCCCCTTCTTTCTTTACCCTAATAAGCATCTGAGGCTGTGAGCCTGTGCTGTTTGGCTGTCACTCCTCCCCCATAGCCCCACAGCCCCCAAGATCTTGCACACTGACAGGCTGAAGCACCATGGTTTCTATTTGCCACCTAATTGGCTGGCAAAACAGTGTTTTGGTGAATGGACTGAGCCAAAGGGCGCAGGGTGGATGGAAGGAGGCCCATTGGCCAGAGCCAATGGTTGGGGGAGGACCAGCTGAGGAGGAAAGCTAGAGGTAAATGGGTAGAGGTGGAAGCCTGGAGGAGAAGGAAGCAAGGCCAAGGGTAGGAGCCTGAAGGTCCCATTCCGGCAGATATTGCTTCAGATGATACTTGATTCAGGTCAAATACTAATATAATGTTTACAAGTTAAATTGAAGACTTTGAGGAAAAAAGCTGATAAGACTAAATAGTTTTTTAAAAAACTAAAAACTAAAGGGCTTAAGGAGGAATTGGACTAAACTTCTATAGAGATTGCTGACAAAATTTCACAAGATTACAACTGACGAAAGATACTGAGAAAGAAAACTTTACATTGGGAGATACATACAGCTCACTACTTCAATAAACTTTTCTTTAGAATTTTAAAGTTTAACATACAATATAAATGGAGTAAATGCTCCTAAAAATACTTTTCACTGTTTGAGAAAATTGAAACAAGTTATAATTAGTTTACAAGAAACTCATATTTTAAAAAATGAAGTCAAGTATTTGATCTGTAACACTCTGGGTGAAGACTTTACATCAGCATGGAATGGGACACCTTACAATGGCCAACTCATCTTTGGCCACTAGTTCCAGCCAATTTTCCATGGACACTTGGGCCTTCCACTCTAGTTTCCAAAGCTGGCCTGGCTGAAGGGAGGCAAAAGTTCCCACCAGCCCACATTCTTTCTATAAAGACCTCCTCTCCTCGCTTTCCACTACAACAGGTGGGCTAAGCGGGAGTGGAAGGCCCATCATGATAAGTTGGCCAGGGTGAGATGTGCCACAGCAAGGTGGTGGTAATGAGGTGGTGGCACGAGATGGCGGTGGCAAGGTTGTGGTAGAGAGTTGTCCTAGACCAGGGGTCGCCAACCTTTTGGACACAGGGACCACCAAACTCATAATTTTAAATCCTGGGGACCACTAATATGAATTTTGACTGTTGGTGGCTTGCTGACGTTGGTATGTGTGTGTGAGAGAGAGATCTGATCAAATCTCTCTCTCTCTCTCTCTCTCTCTCACACACACACACACACACACACACACACACACACACACACACAAACATACAGAGGCAGGGGTGGGATACAAATTTCTTAACTGCTTCTTGGGTGTGGCCTAATTTGTGGGTATGGCTTGGTAGTCATATGACTAGCTGGGCATGGCTTATATGTAAATATTATAAATATTTATGTAAATATTGAATTTTTTATAAAAAAATAGTAACTTTTACCCAAAATCAGGCAAAGCAGGCAGACAGATTGAGTTGCTCACAGAATCACAGATTCAGAGATCTGTCTTTCTGCCATTGGCTACCGGAGTCTGTCACATAAAATTTGCTTGCAAGCAAACCCATAAAATTTGCTAGCAAGAAAACTCACAAAATTAACTCACAACACACCATGTATGTAAATATTGTACTTTTTATTAAAAAAGAGCAACTTTTATTCAAAATTAGGCAAAGCAGATAAGCAGATTGAGTTGCTCACAGAATCACAGTTTCACTTAGAGATCTGTGTTTCTGCCATCAGCTATCTGAGTCTGCAACTGAATAATAGAACCTTCAGTGCTAAGGAAGGTTCGGCTCTGCTTAAAAGCAGAGTCGAAGATATAAAGATTAGCTAGAAAGCAAAAAATCCAATGATTTCCTGCTTTCTAGCTAATTTAAATCTCCCGGCACAGCAGAATAGCTGATAGTCTATTAAAAAAAAAAAAAAAAAGGAAAAATAGCAACTTAGCAGGCAAGTTTGCCAGGTAAGGAGTGAGTGGGCAGGGAGGGTTCCCGTGGACCATGTGGGTGGTGCAGCTTTGTGTTCTCCTGCAGCCTGGATTAATTGCTTTGTGGGGGTGCTCTAGGGGTGACATTTCTCTGCAGACCACCAAACTTTTCTCGTGAACCACCAGTGGGCCTTGGCCTACTGGTTGGCGACCACTGTCCTAGACTCACATCAATGGACTCAGAAAAGACTAATGGAGTATTTTTCTACATTAATCCATTAATTAAAACTGAAATTATAATTGACTGGTAAACATGATAAATACTTCATGAGAGCTGTTCAGATCTCAGGAGGATTTTCTTTCCAAAGGACAGGTACTGCTACAGAGAACAATATACAGTAATATACAGTAGAACCAATTATCCCTCAAAATAATTTCTGAATCCTAACATCTTATACCCCACCCCAAATCACAAATTTAACACACTTTTAGCAGGACATACTGTATACTAAGTTGCAGTAATGTTGAAAATATGCTGTTTTGTGAATTAAACATTTCATTCCCAAAATGGTATGTGTTGCATAGCTATATTAATTAAACATTCTGTCTATAGAGACAAACTATGATTTTGATGAAATCTAGGTTAATTTGCTTATCAAAAGGGTACTGTGCTAATATTTAAAATAAATTAATATAGCTGTTTTGCTTGAAGTAATTTTAAAGAACAAACTATTATCTCTTCTGAGTTTTGTTGAAAATAATTCTATTGTTAGATTAATTTTGCTCCATGCATTATTAAGGCTGAAATACTTTAAAAAACTACTAAATACAGTTTCAATTGCTGTCAAACATTAATAACTTTGAACATTGATTTGTTCAAAGCAATAGAAATTATATTTAAAAGTTATGCAAATAAATTGCATAGGATTTTTTGTGACAGAAAAATTATTCATATTTTGCTTATTTTTATTTCTAGGGTTCCAGCAGTTTTTTAAGAAATTCATCTCTCCATTGTGACAAAATATCTCAGTAAGTCCTTTCTGAATACTTCTCTCTTATTTATAATGCCAGAGAGAAAAAGTTTAAGTACATATTTGACAGTACTTGAACATTTGTTAGTGAACATGATACTAAGCTACGATAACATTCTACAGTATAATTCTGTAGCCAAAATTACAATTTCATATACTAAATAGTTTCTGCTGTGATAGGTCCTCTAAGAACTGACAAAACTGTTTGGCAGCTATTGAACTCTAGAGATAAGGGGCAGGGGATTAAATATGTTTACAATAAATGTAATTCATGTAACTTCATAATTCATGTAACTTAATTTTATTTTTATTGTTGTTTTAACCATTTGGTCATGTCTGACATTATGGGCAACTGCTCTCCACAGTACCCTGTCAAGTGCAACCTTTTTCAGTTGTGGGATGTTCAACTTTGTATCAGATTTGATATTATCAAGCCATTATTCTTTTTTGCTTGCACCTTCTTCTTGTTCCACTAACCATTGTCATTATCTTTGTTTTCCTGATGTTAAGATCCAATCCTACTTTTTTACTTTCAACCTTGTTAACCCAGATCGTTTTTTCTAGGTCTTCCTTATTTTCAACCAATAATTTGTATCATCTGCATATCTCAAATTATTTATGGTTCTTGCCCTAATATTTATTCTAACATCAGGCAGATGCAGAACTAATTTCTGCATAAGCATTTCACATACAGTTTGAACAAAAAAGCTGAAAAATTACATTTCCCTTACTGATTCTGAACCATTCTGTGTCGCCATAAAGTGTTCTCAGTTGTATTAGTATCACTTTATAAATCCTTAGTAAGACCACACTTAGAATATATTGCACCCCATTTTGGTCACCATATTATAAAAAAAGATATTGAGACTCTGGAAAGAGATAAGAAAAGAACAACAAAGACAATTAGAAGGCTAGAGGCTAAAATGTGATGAATGGTTGCAGGATATATCTAGTTTAATAAAAAGAAAGACTAGGGGTGACATGATAGCAATGTTCCAATATTTGAGGGGCTGCCACAAAGAAGTGGGGTCAATCTATTTTCCAAAGTTCCAGAAGGTAAGGCAAGACATAATGGATGGAAAATAACAAAGAAGAAAAGCAACTTAGAATTAAGGAAATATTAACAACCAATGAAACTGCTTGCATTCAGAAGTTGTGGGTGCTTCATCACTGGAGGCTTTTAAGAAGAGATTGGACAGCCACTGGTTGGAGTGGTTTAAGGTGTCCTGCTTGAGTAGGGGGTTGGACTAGAAGTCACCCAAATTCCAACTCTGTTATTCTCCCCATTATCAGTAAGAACTATTTAAATATTTGTCTCTTACTTAAAATGCTTTTGTTTAAAGTATTTATATCAATATTTTTTATACATATTTGTCATATTTTCAGTTCTCCTTAAAATTTTTTTTCTTCACAAGCTATATTCTAAGTGTCCTAGCTTAGTTTCTATGTAACATATTGTATGCCCACTTGCAATTCTTTAAAGTGGTCTTGTTCTATGTTGTTCACCACAGAAGTACAAATTTTGCCTGTATTATGGAGGAAAGTTATGAACTGGATCTCACTTACGTTACTGAAAGAATCATTGCAGTATCATTCCCAGGAAACTGCTCAGAGGAAATTTATCTAAACAACTTCCAAGATGTAATTGGTATGCTTAAATCCAGACATGGTGGCAACTACATGGTAAGAGGAGATGCAGTCTCTATGATGTCATTTGTCATCTAAACATTTATTATATATCTATTGTTACGTTTATGCCACTAGATTTTCTTGTTTGTAATGTGTGAAATGACCCCAAAATATAGCATGAACAGCTTTGCATTTCTTAAAATTTTCAGACTTTTAGTATAGTCTAATAGGGGACAGTAATGAAGTATATTATGTATCTGTAGTCCAATACAGCCATTCTCAGAACCTGGTCCACAGAACACCTTTCATTCATCCAAAAAGAAATGATTTTGAGATTCTAAAATTTGACTAAAAGGATAGATTTGCAAGAAGTATGAGGAGAAATAAAACGTGTACATTGGCTAAGCCATTATATTTGTTTAGTTGCATACTTCTAGTTTATTGCTTCAAATGAGAGATTAGCTGCTATTTTATAATCTAAATAATATATTTAATATGTTTCTTTTATATGTGAACAAAAAGAGCTGAAGTGAAAAAATGGATTATATGTAGTACTGAAAATAAAGTTTGTGTATATACTGTATATTCATATTAAGCTTTCTCTGTATGAGAAAAATATATTAATGAGACATGAAATTGAACATCCCCAAATTCAAAAACACTTGGAAATAAACTTTGATATTAAACCTGAAGCCTTTTTTGTTAAATGTTTAATTTGAACTTTTTCTTTAACAACCAACAATTTTTGTGATCAGTGTAATGATTGGGTCAATATACTTTTCACACAATGCTAACAGTAAACATACAATTGCATACACAGAGTTTTTATCTTCCAACTTCTAACCTTGATATGATCATTATAATTATATATTCTTTTATGTATCAATATATATTGTACTATTTTCCCAATTTGTACTTATTTCTTTATTTTTCCCATTTGTTGGCGTTCTTCTATATTCGCCTCATTATCTTTAAACAATACTATTCTTTCTTTATGATTTTTTTATCATTTTCTCCAAAAATGTATGTAAACATCAACAGCATTTCTTCATATAATATATTTATTAACTCCTGTTATTAATGTCTTAATATTTTAAATATCACTCAGTATTCCACCACATTTTCAACATCTCAGTTTTCTATAAACACCAATAAAATCAATTGCTAATAAGATTTAATCAGTCCCAAGATTATATCTCTAAGTCCCTTGAATTTATAGTCTTTGAAAACTGTATATTCCAGTATGTTTTTTGTACCATTAATCATAATAATACATTTAGATATACCTAGTCATAGTCTTCCACCTCCTAATCTTAATATATTTATAGTTATAATAAATTCTATTATATATCTATATATGTGCTACTATTTTCCCAATTTAAACTTTCCCCTTATTTCTTTTTTTTAATATAATTACTATATTGCAAGGTATTATGTCTCTATCCATCATTTCTCAGCCGTTTTAAAATTTCATCATTTATTTATTTTTTGGTGATTCTTTTATATTTCTCTCTTGGAATCCTATATGACTTTCTAGCATTTTTACACAGACTAATTGTTCCCTCTGCCTTACCCTTCATCTTCTTCTGCTGTATCTTTTGAATATCCATCCATATCCCTTTCATTATCTTTGGAAAATTTTCCTTTTTTCTTTCAATTCTATTGCAAGCTCTTAAGAGACTATCTATTTGATCTTTAGTATTAATTGTTACTGTCTTTTCAGTGTTTTTATCTGCTTGTAATTTATTTTTATCTTCTTGTAGTTTATTTTGCTTTGTCTCCTCTACCACTCCTTCTAATTTCTCATCTGTCTTCTGGGTATCATATTCATCTTTTCCTGCCATTTGTTGAGGGCCTTCTACTTTCACATCTTTATCTTTAAATATTCCCATCATCTTCTTATAATTCTTTGTCACCATTTCTAACATTACTTCATAGAACTTTATTGTCTCCTGCTGGATCATTTTGTACCAAATTAATATACCTCTAATATTCCAGTATCCCAATATCTAAAAACTCCAAAAAAGTCAATTATTAATAAAATTTGGTCAATCCCAAAATTATTCCTCTCAGTCTCCTAAAGTACCCAAATCCAACTTAGCCCACAGGGTTTCTTCTAATCTTTCAAATCCACCTTTCAATGCACAGTTCCAATAAAGTTTTATGTTCAGTGAATATTTCCCAGCATCGAATTCGCCTACTAAGATAAAGTCAAGGTCAAGTAGCCCTCCAGGTGTTATTTATTTCACTCCTTCCTTTGAGTTTTACACACTGCAGTGATCTTCTTCTTCCAGTAGATGGCTCCCCTGTTCCCAATTCCAGCTTCAACAGAGTGTAAAAATAAAAAACAGCTGATTGTCATCCAGTCAGGGGGGTTAGAGATCGAATTTTAGAAAAGCAATTTTTCCCAATAATCATTTTTCACAATGTTATTCAGCTTTTTGAGGCTTTCTATGTTTTAAATCATCCGTTAGGTATTTCTTTTACTTCTAAGCCATTAATCTTTAATCTTCCTGTTTAGTTTTTAGTCCTTAATCTTTTTCCATAAATCCAATTGCAGTTTTCTTAACATTTGGACATCATTTTTTGTAATTTTTAATTTGGATTAAATCTCTAAGGTAAAGTTGAAAGTTATCTCATCCAGTTTCAGTGCTCTGTCCATGCACCGCTCTAGCACAAGATCTTAAGTTCTGGCTTTCCCAGCTTGTAATTGACCAAAATGGCCGTCCCTGCTGCCGTTTTGGAGAACTTTCTTCGGATCAACAGATAAATTGCAGTTTCCTTGAGATCAATGAAGTGCCTCTCCTTTTTTCACCATCCCTCTAGGGTGGCTTAACCCTGTAGGGTCTCCCATCAAGCAGTTGCCAGTTGTATTTCATGGAGCCTGGCGGAACTCTGCTATTTTTCAGCTGTTCTTGTTGCAGCATCAACCAGAAGTCCCCTGACCATTTTGTTAATATAGGGAAGAAAAGAAAAAAACCCAAATCATTTCCCTTCCCTCTCTCATTCGCAGCTTCAAAGTCTTCTTTGGGAACAATGTTGTTCTTTATAATTCAAATTCCAGGGTACCTTGTCTTGTTGTTTTTCCAGTTCGACCCAGTCAGTCAAAAGCTTTCTCTTCTTATCTTCCTCCTGCACATTCTTTTCCAGTTGAGTTCTTCTTTGAGGTGGCCATTTCTGACCACCACTGCAACCGCCTTTGGGAAAGGGAGTAATGGCCAGCTGGGGAGGAGAGATGCAGCTCTCCTCAACCCTACTGGCAGTCTCCCCCCTCTTCACCACCTCTATGGGTGGCTTAGCCCCGAAACCAGCCGGCTCGGGGCACTCCAGCAGCGAGCACAGATTGAAACTGCACTCAATCGCAGATTTCGGTCTGTTGCCGAAGAAGCTCAAACCGGATCTGATCCCCTGACCATTTTGTTGACCATCCAGTTTCTAATAGTCCTTAGCTATGTGCTTATAGGAAGCCCAATTTTTTTCCCAGCAAGCAGTTAAGCAGGTTATCTAAGTTTCAGGAACAATTCTTGACAATAGCCATTAATAGAGACATCTACTTCCATAGCCCTTGATTACTTTGAATTGAGATAAAAAATACAAAGATAAGAGTGGAAATTATTACATAGAACAAAAGTGGTGCTTGTGGGATGGATAACACTATATCAGCATTGAAATAAAATCATGATTAGCTCAAATAAGAATGAGAGTAAATTAAAAATTTATTTGCTTCTTCCACTGAAATCAGTAGCCTTAAGCAATGCTTATGTGGAGCTGCGTCATGCCTACATTTATTTTGTAAAAAGAAATATTGGCAGTTAACTCTTGTTTATTCCTCTATGTTTTGTCACAATCAAAAGAAAATAACTTTGAAATACTATAAATATTCAAGCTTGTCACATTTCTGTTATGAGATTTGCAGGGCTTTTAAAAAACTCATATCTGCATAACTTCATTATCAAATGAAATGTTTAAATTATTATCATGATAAAATGTTTAAATTATTAATGTTCATGCTTAAAATATTTCCCTCTGCAATAGGTACTGAACCTCTCTGAAAGAAGATATGATTTTGCTAAGCTTGACCCAAAGGTATTAACATGTTCTTGTATTAAAGTGCACAGCTTCTGTTTTATTTTTTTTATATTGTAGGCAGAATTTTTGAGGATGTTTGGCTAGACTGTCTCCAGCAAAATTTCCAAGGGGGACACTGTCACCTCAATAGGCAGGTTTCTGCAGGGTGATTTTTAAGCAAAAAATATTTGTTAAAAATAATTTCCTCATTCCTCATTATTAGATTAGGGGATTATTGCGTAAATACACAAAAGCTATTCTCATTTTTATGTTTGGAAGGACAACGTTAGAGTTGCTATTGCTATTTAACAGCTTCTTTGGTAAATCTCATAACTCTGTTTGATATTAGGCTACAAAGATAGAATTGCTGAATAGCTTAGAAAAATGTTTCTGGAAATCTCATCTGGTAATCAGATGATTAGTGTATATATCAAGGCTTCTATTTGTAATGTTTTTTTATGGTTTTCATATGGAATTCTGAATAACCTTTTTAACAAGTGAAAAAGATAGTCGCCATCTTTGATTCTGATAAGTACTTAAAGCACAGCATTTATAAAAGCATTACAATAATTTATTTGTAACAAATAAGGTGGGAAAGACTGCTATGAAAATAGAATAAATATATTTATTCTATTTATTAATATTCTATTTATTTACAAATATATTTATTCTATTTATTAATTGTGTAAATTGCTAAAAAGGTTTGCCTTTATACATTTCTAACACTTTTTAATTATTTCAGATTATGGAAGTGGGCTGGCCTGACTTCCATGCCCCATCCCTTAATAAGATATGCAACATCTGCAAGGCTATGGAATCCTGGCTGAACAGTCACCCTCAACACGTTGTGGTGATCCATTGCCGAGTAAATTGCTGTTACAAATCTTTTAGTTTATGTATTGAATTATAATAGCTATGTGTCTCTTGTGGAACTTTGATCCCATATGTTATGGAAAATAAATTTCCAGATGCATTAATTGTCTGAAGAAATACATAGGCTATACTTGCGGAAGCTTTTACATTTCTTTTAGTGGGCTGAAAAACTGTCAAAGATGCTATAGAGCAATGTCAGGTATAAATAGTATTGTTGTAGTGTGAGAAGCTGCTAAACTGGAATATTTGCCACAAATACAAATCTATTCCTTTGAATATATGTTTTTCTCATTTTATATTTTTGACATGCAAAATATCTTTCCTTCCTTCCTTCCTATTTCACTCTGTTAGTATCAATCTGGCAATATACATTTCTTCCTTCTGTCCTGTTCTCTCTCGATCTGTCCCCACAAACCCCTTCCTTCTAATGATTCTATAAACCCTCCAATACTTCCCATACTTTTCCCAAATTGTTTCTGTATTTTCTCCATCTGCCACACTTATTAAATAAAAGGTTCCCCTCTTCTTTCACTCTTTCCCCAAATAGTTTCTTTGGGTAAATAACTGACTTAGAATGGATATCCTATAGATTATGATTTTTGCAGAACCTTACAAAATATCCCCATGTCTGAGGTTTCCATAAAAAAATGAAACTCATCAGATGATACCTCCTGGTGATCACTGCAATCTCAATCACAAAGTGATTCTAAGTGGCTTAAACAATGAGATAAAAACATCAGTAAAAATAATAAAGCAGATTCAGAAAAAAATATAACTAACTCATCAGGAAAAATATTTAACACAACAATAACCATTGGGGACCAGATAACTTTATGCTTTACAGTACTTATAATATAGGCCCTATTGAAAGAGTTAGGAACTTAAGGTTTTATAAAGTAGAAGCCCAAGTGAATCAGTATAATAAGTTAAAAAAAAAAAATCAGCACGTCATTCTTATTTTTAAAACAAGTTGGAGAAGACACATTTAGGAGCAGGGAATTCCAGAGCACAGGAGTCACAACTAAGAATTTCTTCCCTTTAGTAATTTTTGGGCTGTCACCCTCAACAATTGCATATTAAAAGCCATTAGCGGTAAATAATAGCTCCCAGGATTCAATATATGAAGTCATTAATTCATTTAAGAGGAAGGGCTCTGCATATACAGAAATTCATGTGTAATTTTGTTCATGAATTACATTGATATGTGGTACGTAATACCAAGCACTTTGAATTTAACTTGAAAGTTGGGAGTTAAACAGTTTAGAAAGGAGAGAGAGGTATTACACAATCTATTTTTAACCTTTATTCAGAATACCAGAGGATTAAAGTCACAACCATTGGATTCTATCTCTGCTCCTTCTATTAATTTTCACCTTAATTTTGAAAAAAAAAGAACTAATATAATCCTAAATAGGTTTTGTTAATAAACAGACACTAGCTTTTAAATGTTATAATTTTCTTTATTTCCTTTACAAATAGCAGCTATGCCATTTTTACTTATTTATAATCAGCTATAAACTAGCTGTCATATTTGCTGGCTTTCTTTGAGTAATTTTGAAACAAATTAAGACTGCTGTTAGTAATTTGTACTGAATGCATGTAATATGTTTAATAAGATTTCAAAACATAGTGAAAGTACTCATTAAATGCAATTCTGACTATAAATCATAAGTATCACAAGAAATGTTATATATGTTCATTATGTGCTGGGAAACATACATTTTTCAGAATCTTTCAGAGCACACTGCAAGAGATGCCTAGACTTGTCTTAGAATAGCTAACAGAATATTGTTAATATTATATTGAGATTTTTATCCTGTAATTTACAGTTTTGTTATGATCCTAAAATGTCATGTAAAATGAAAACAGTGTCTGCAGTTATTCTAAAAATAGAATAAACATATCCAGTTTAAGAACATAGAAAATATTTATGTTTTTTGTTGTACAGGGTGGAAAAGGAAGAATAGGGGTAGTGATCTCATCATACATGCACTTCACAAATCTATCTGCAAGGTAGGATAACAAAACATTTAATGATTATTTGGCTATTTCCTAACTGCTTTCTGTCAGAATAAAAAAAAAAACCTTAAAGATAGTGCAAGGATTCTGGTTTTTAGCCATTTCTAGGATAACCATAAATGAAATCCAGAGTTGGTCTGTGAGACAAATGATACTTTTATGTCTTGTTCCTGAATACCTTTTTTTCAATACCACTGAATGTATGTATGTATGTATGTATGTATGTATATGTCTGTCTGTCTGTCTGTCTGTCTGTCTCTCTGTGTGTGTATACACACACATATATTCACATATATAAGTGAGTGTGTGTGTGTATGTGTGTGTGTTTGTGTATATTTATTCTTCCTCCCTTCACTCCTAGTCATTCTTTCATTTCCTCCCTCCCTCCCACCCTTCCTCCCATTCCTGCTGGCTTCTCCATTTACTTTGCTTGTGGGAAGCTTGAAAAAAGGTGAAATCAGTCTATAGAAAGTTGCAAATCGAAGGCCAGCATGAAGATAAATGGCTGCTGCTAGTTGGGAGAGGAAAAGAATGGTGTATAGAAGTGTGTGGGGAAAAAATGGTACATAGGGAAGAGAGAAGTTGTGGAGGTTGGAAGGCATGGCAAGTATGCGCCAAAGATATTACATGGATGGATGGTGTAGGTCTGGGAGGGGCCCTGGGTCTGTGTGAGATGAGCTCTGCAGTTGAGTACGGTTTATGGCGGGGGGGAGCAGCAAGAATAAAAAAGGGTCCATGTAGTGTTGGCCAGGTCAAGTAGGGAACTTGGCAACAGCAAAAGAGGTGGGAGCGTAGAATGGATCAGGAACAATGTTTGCGGAGTGCCATATGGATCAAGTAAAGCCTTCAGGAGGGGTGCGGGTTGCATAGAGTACACAAGAAGTGCTCCACAGATCCTAGAAGGCATGCAGGGAGTGGCACAGGTGGGTGCATGGCAGTATGCAAGAAGTGCTGGGTAAGTCAAAAAAGGCTCATGGGAGGCGGTTGCAGGTCAAAACAAGTATGTGGGGGGATCCTTCCTTACAGTTCCTTCTCTTCTTTTTCCTTCCTACCCTGACCTGTGTCTTTCCAGTAAGTCGGTGCTTCTGGATGGACAAGGGAATGAAGGATTTTAAAACAGAATGGCCATGACCAACTCACTGCAGCCAACTCGCCATGGCCAACTCACTGTGGACAACTCACCATAGGACAGACAGTTCAGCAAATACAAAAGTTAAATTTAATTTAAATGGAATCATGGCTTGGAACAGTCATACTCAGATGCTACTTTTACAGCTCTTAGGTCCTTGGTTAGGGCTTGAACTGTTTTTACCACTCCTAGACTATGAAGATTAAATCTTATATAACAACAATAACAATAATAATATCTGTAATACCATCAAACATTCAAACATCCACATCTGCCTATCCCAGGTGCTTGGTAAGGACTCAATAGGTAGACAAAAATGCCAAACCCAGACTGAACATCTGGTTGACTGAGATAATCAGTAATAATAGTAATAATACCCAGTGAGGCATTACCTTGACGTGATTGTAATGCTTGTGTGCTATGAGGAAATGAGAGCTATGTCAGAGGTTAAACCATACAGGACAGTTCTCATCAGGAGTCAGACAAAGAGTATCTCTCCCATAAAAAAATATGGTGAGATATAAATTTCAGAAAGCCATACCAGCTCAGATGTCATCCTGGTTAACGAGGTTTGCACTAGAGGATATTTGGTGACAAAATAGGCTACAGGACTCAGGACTGTTGGCTGAGCAATCAGGGCCAACAGCTGTACAACTGCTGGAAGAAAATGTGTTTACCCTTTGCAAATAATATAATGATTGAAAACACAAAAATAATGATCTGTTATTTCAGACCAAGTCCAACAGGGAGAGGATATTTGAAACAAATGCACCAGTTCTGGAAAGAACAACAGATTCAGAAAAAACAGAACAGAGACTAGCAGATCAACATTGATTTATAATACGAAATAAAGTATTCACAGAAGCAGAATTGGACGAATGCAAAATTTTTCCCCAAGCAAAGAATCAAAGCCTTGCCAGAAGTAATTCAGAATGTAGAGGCAAACCAGGGGGAGTTGGCAATAGAGACATCCAGCAGAGATATGCAATTGTTTTCATTTGGAAACCGGGCACCCTCTCCTCTGCCTCAGAAAGAAGAAAGCCATCTAACTAAAGTAAAAGAATTGAAACGAAGAATAACTGAGCATCTGGAACAGCATTAAAGCTTTAGAATATAGCTGCCTGCATCAAAGCTTGTTCCAAAGAAACAACTAGCACAAGCATTAAAAGACACAAATACTGCAATATCAAGTATAAGCACCAACTCAGTGCAGTCAGTATCTAACAAGGAAGAAACATTGCAGTTTTGGATGCAGATAATGAATAACCCAAAGAAATACAACAAGGATGCGGTTTAGTTAAAAGAAGTGGATAAGAATAAAAAAGTTGAAATGAAAAAACTAGTAATAACAACAGAAGTGGTAGAGAAAAGAGTAAGAAAGATCAAGAATTGGTTAGCACCAGATAAAGATGAACTGCATGGTTTTTGGTTGAAACATTTAACTGGTCTATACCCACTCTTTCCTAAGCAGTTTAACAATATACTATAAGGAGGTGAAATTGAAGAGTGGCTAGCATCTGGGAAAACCTACCTGATAATGAAAGATCCACAAAAAAGAGGCAGCACTAGGCAACTACAGGCCAATTACCTGTGTACCAACAACTTTCAAATTGTTAATTAGTGTGGTAGCTGATGCAGTCCAACAGCAACTAGTTGAAAACAATCTCTTTGCATTTGAGTAGAACGGAAACTGCCCCAATAGCAGAGGAACAAAATGTCAACTCCTAATTGACAAAATGATTTTAGAAAACTTCAAGAGAAGGAAGACCAATATGTATGTAGCACAGATTGATTACAAAAAGGCATTCAACTCTCTGCCACATGACTGGAGAATCAGGTGCCTAGAGATAACAGGAGTCAGTAGAACAATCGGAAGCTTTGTGTAAAGATCTTTGGCCCAATGGAAGACACATTTGCAGATCAATGGTGAGAGACTGGGAAAGGTTAATATCAAGAGAGCAATATTTCATGGAGATTCACTATCACCACTACCATTTGCCATTGCACTGTTTTCTCTATCAACAATATTGAATGACTCAGGCCATGGTTATCAATAATCAACAATGTCTGCCAGATTATCTCACCTCTTTTACATGAACGATCTGAAACTATATGGAAACAGTCCATCTAAAATAAAATCACTACTCAACACTGCCTGTATACATAGCCAAGATATTGTAATGGTGTTTGGACTGGACAAATGTGCCACACTCATTACCCAACAAGGAAAAATAGTGAAAACTGAAGGAATCAAGATGCTGCATGAAAATAACATTAAAAGCCTGGATGGAGATGATTATTTAAAATATCTGGATATCTTTCAAGCTGACAACATCCTTCCAGCACATACTGAAGTCAAGAAAAAGATTAGAGGTGAATACATCAAGAGAGTGAAGACGACTTTAAAGTCCAAACCCAATAGAGGAAATACCATCAAGGCAATCAACACCTAGGCAATTCCAGTCATTAGATACATAGCCAGAATAGTGGAGACAGAGCAGAACTAAAAGCAATGGATAGGAAGACCAAACAATAATGACAATAAATCATGCCCTTCATCCTTGCTGCAACATTGACAGACTCTAACTACCAAGGCAAATAGATGGGCTTGGAATGTTGCAAATACATCAGATGGTTAAAGAAGAAAAAAGAGCTTTTGAATAATATTTGGAGGACAACAAAGAAGATGCACTGAAGTTAGTACACCAGAAAGGCTTTCTGACTACTAGAGAAACCAAACTGGTCTACATGAAAGACCAAATGAAGAAGAAAATGGAGGCATCAGAAGACAAAGTACTACATGACTAGTATATTTTAAAAAAATAGCAAGGAAATCAGATTACAACAAGACCTATCAATGGCTAAGAGCAGGAAAGTCGATGAAAGGGACCGAGGGACTAATTCTGGCTGCACAAGACCAAAGGACAAATGTATATAAAGCCAGAATTGAGAAGACAGCAACAGACAGTAAGTGTCAGCTATGCAAAGAAGCTGAAGAAACAATGGACCATCTGCTGCAAGATCGCACAGTCTGATTACAAACAATGGCATGACAAATTGGCAGCAATAATGCATTGGAAGATCTGCAAAAAAAACCATTTGCAGATCTTGTATATTTTTAAGTGTATGTGTTTAAATTAAAAACCAAGCATGCTTAAAGAAACCAAATAGCTGAGAGGAAAATGGACATCTGACTCTCCAACCCCCTACCAGGAATTCTTCTCCCCAAGAGTGGCCCTGGTCATCCAAAAGTCACCTTGGGTCATTTCTAGCTGCTCCCATTTAATCTAGGAGCCTGTTTGCTGACAAGAGAAGCAAATCCCCCTGCTATTCAGAACTCAATCGTGGAGGAGGATCAGACTTTTTAAATATATTTATTATGGTCTTTTATATTTATATTTACTTTTTATATATTTTTGCTTTTTATCTATTTTGCATTGTCCTTAGTGGCTAGACCAGTAGTTCCCAAAGTGCCCTGGGGGGCAGTGGGATGCCTTAGGGGGCGCTGAGAGGCAAGGGGGGAGCTAAGAGGCAGCAGAGGGGCACTGGAGGTGAGCGGCAGGGCACAATTAAAGGGTGAGAAAAAAATCCTGCCCCTGCAGCGTTTGAGACAAGGCCCTGCAGATCACCCCATTGACTTGCATGCTCTGGTGCAAGGAGTTTTGCCCCCGCATGCAGCGTTGGGAAAGGAGAGCAAAGCCAGAGTGTCTTTGCTCTCCTTTTCAAATATCCTGCCGCCACTGTGTTTGGGGCAGCAGGGCGATGCCCTGAATGCAGCGTTGGAATAGGAGCCGCAGCATTGGGAATAGGAGATATTCAAATATCCCACTGCCGTGTTTGGGGCAGCGGGGCAGCGCCCCGAACGCAGCATTGGGAAAGGAGAGCAAAGCCAGAGTGGCTTTGTTCTCCTTTTCAAATATCCCGCCTTTCAGCCTTCAAGATTTTCTCCCTTTGCTTTGCGTCTTTCGGCTGTCATAAGTAACGGGGGGAGGAGGGGGGAAAATTATGGGAAGTGAGCTGGAGGTGTTACAAACTAGAACTGTATAAACTGGGGAGGGGGAGTACATTCTTGCTTAGGTTTTTATTCCTTGCTTAGCTTTCTTTTCTATGCTATGCGCAGCTGCAAACCTTTATCAAACTATGCCAAGGTCAACGGACAGAAGCCTCATCACCACCTGGAGATGTCCACATGATGATATTCACAACTTTTAATTGGAAGAACCATTTGAACTATTGGGGGTGTGAACATTGCCATTACTTTGTATATGTGATTTACGTGCCCATTTTCTCAGATTCAGAATTCTTTTGTTGCTACCACTTGATTTCCAGTAAAAGATATCTTTTCTCTAATTAAGAGTCTAAGTATTTCTTTCTTGGATTTTGAATGGAGCACCAGCTGACATTATTCTGAATCTCACCTTACCAGCCCACCCGGAGAGATAGTACCAGTTGACACCGCCGCCGCCGTGTTCCACCCCATTGAGCCCCTTGCACCGGAGGCACCTGCCCAAGCACGTCCGAACGGAGCGGTGCACGAAATCAATTGGGTGAGCCTGAGAGAGGGAAAGAGAGAGAGAGAGAAAGAGAGAAGGAAGAAGAGAAAGAGAAAAGGGAAAGAAAGAAAGAAAAAGGGACAAAGAAAGAGGGGGGATGGAAGGAAGGGACAGAAAGAAAAAGAAATAAAGAAGGAGGGAGGGAGGGAGAAGAAAGATAATGAGATATCTATTCTAGTCCAATCACCTGCTCCAGCTGGGTTAGAAGGGAGTGTGTGCATGTGTGTGTTCTCCTTGTAATTTACCAGTACATTTTGGTTTTGCCTTCTTCAGAATTGGCACTGTAATACATTGGGGAAGAGTAATTTTTTAGGGTGGAGATCTGACCCAATGGATCCTGTTTAAAGCCTCAACAAAATGTGAGAGCTTCCTGATAGTCTTGGCCATGTTTCGTCTACAAAACCTTTAATTAATAGAAGCCAAAGATGTTTCAATGTGCTGGCAAAGATGCAGGCAAAGATGTTTCAATGTGGAAAAGGGCCTCTAAACTAGGCCTCATTTGAATCATGCATCAGTGCTCTCTCTCTCTCTCTCTCTCTCTCCCTCCCTCTCTCCCCCTCCCCACCCATCCCTCCATGCCCCCCCCTTCTTTGTCTTTTTTCTTTACCTTTTCTTTTTCTTTTCTTCCTTCTCTCTTTTCTCTCGCTCTCTTTCCCTCTCCCAGGCTCACCCCATTGATTTGGTGCACCGCTTCGCTTGGACTTGCTTGGGCAGGTCCCTCCAGTGCAGCGGGCTCAGTGGGGTGGACCTGTGGGGCCGGCACCTAGAATGCGGCAGTGCTGGCACGTTTGAAAAGTAGAGCAAAGCCAGAGGTCAGTAGTTTTTGCTGCAAAGAATCACAAAAGCTTCTGGGTTGTGCACAAGAAGGGACACACATATCAATGCAATTCAGCAACATAAAAAAAAGAAATACAAATAAAACAAATCAACAAGAATTGGCAAAGCATCTCTGATTAGATTTTATTCACTACTAGAATCTAATCAGAGATGCTTTGCTGATTCTAGTCCAATGACCAGCTCCAGCAGGGTTGGAAGGGAGTATGTGTATATGTGTGTGCATGGCTGTTAAACTCCAAAAACAGGTCAAGTAGTTCTGGCGAGGCCAGTCATAAATTAGAACACTTGCTAAGCAACCAGCCAATAAGTGAGGACCACTTGTATTTGGTTTGCCAGTCACCAAACCACACTCACCCAGTCACATGACCAGCAAACTACGCCCACCCAGTCATGTGACCAGCAAGCCACACCCACCCAATCACTTGACCAGCAAACCACACCCTCAAATTAGGCCATGCCCCCAGAAATTTGAATCCCTCCCCTGGGTGGGGGCATTGAGGATGAGTTTGTAGCACCAAGGGGGCGGTGGGCTGAAAAAGTTTGGGAACCACTGGGCTAGACAGACAGACTGATGTTATTTTCAGGTGTTTATTTCCATTGTAGATCAAAATATATTTTATTTTGTTATTTTTAATAAATGAGATACAAACAATCCTGAATTTTTCTGGCTAGGGTGTTAATGGAGCTCAATGAGAATGTGCTTGTTACAGTCGTATTTAGATTTTTAGGGAACTTAATTTTATTCTCTTTTATTGATTGTGAAACTGGTTTTGTTTTTTCTTATTTGCAAATTTCACCAGTGAAAATATGCTTTATACTTAGCATGCTAGATTGGGAATGACATAAATTATGTAGGATATTAGAAAAATTGAATAATAAGGACACATGCAGAGTATAAGGCAATGTATATGTTTAAAGCTTGCTTATGAAGAGGTCTAATTGAATCCATACTCAATTTTTGTGGTAGCAACTGCAATTAATTAACTGACCCTCTAATTTTTGTTTTCCTACCAAAATGTCTCAGAAATTGTTTTTCCTGTTTTTGTTATTGTTGTTGTTGTGGGTAACAGATACAGTGTTAATTAAAACTGAAATAGTTAATAATTCAGGGTTTGGAGGGGAAAAAAATCCTTCAATATTTTTCTTTCACTCTTTCCTTCCTCTTTATTTAAGAGAGATTTATATAGAGTTGGTATCTGGCAAACTAAGGAAGGCTGGGCAAGATTTCTTTACTATTATTATTGAACAAAAGCCAGGTGGAGTCTATATTTCAAAGTATGGATATTGTTTTAAAGATATTATTTTGAAAATAATACTTATATACCATATTGTAGAACACTACACATTGTTCACATTGACACACTATTTTGTTCAGAAGGGATGGGAAAAGAAGCATTAACATTTTAAGTCTCATTGTATCTGGAAGTCAGTGCATTTGCCAAATACAACACAACATACTGCAATGCATTGGCATGATTCACTTTATAAGAACTTTTATTTCCAAGACTGCTCCACTAAAGGATTTACATTTTCTCTCTTTCTTTCACAATAGTGCAGATCAAGCCCTGGACAGATTTGCAATGAAGAAATTTTTTGATGATAATGTTTCCGATTTGATGCAACCATCCCAGAAAAGGTATTTCAGTTTCTCTTTTAGAAACATCTTTTCTCTTAGAAATATCTTCCAGTTTCAATAAATAAGATTCGTAGCTCCCCATGTCCATAGTTGATGGACAGTTCTTAAATTTACCTCTTTCAGCCCTTTTCTCTTCTTGGGAATATATGCATCTTGTTTCAGGTGTCAGTCATGTTTCTAATAGGATATTGCAGCAACGGATCCAAAAATTGGGAGGTTGTAAGAGAAATAAAAACTTTTTATGCTTGCTAATTTTAAAAAGGGAAAGGGAAGAAGGCAAAAAAGAATCAGTGATGGATGGCTCTGTTCTCAACTCACAATAACTTTTGCATTTTGGGTACTATCCAGTATCCTAGATGTAGCCTTTTGAATCTATGATGATTAGGAATTGATGAGCAGAGCAGGAGGCTGATAAGAATCAGAGAAAGATAGAGTTTCAAAAAGTCTGAAGAGGTGATTCAAAATGGTACAATAAAAAAAAAATCTTAAGGTATCTATGACGTATCAAAATGATCTGGCTGGATCATTACCACTACTGTAAACAGCAGTTCCTGAAAGTACATCAATGTATAGCTTCGGAGAGAAAAATGTCAACCCCTCCTGCTATTCCTATATCAAGAACAAATACATTTCACCTTTCTCTAGAGTCCTATAGAGCATGTCCTATATGAGCAAATGGTTGAGCTAGCTTATATAATGTTATGTTTTGTGTCATTTGATCAAAAGTTCCCTAGGGAATTTCAGATACTTAACTGCCAGAAAATAAGGGGAAAAATGAGTGTTGTTGCATTCTAATGAATAGGTCCTAATAATTTTCTTGAGTAGAGGAAAGAGACACAGATCTTAACTTGGAGATGGCCGGGGTAAGTGGGTGGGGAATAGATATCTCATAGCAACCTCCTTACTTTCTGAAATCAAGCTTCAGTACCAGTAAGAAATAAATGAGCAATACTCCTCAATGGAGTTGGGTCCTTATGTCTAGTTCCTGGACGGACAACTTGCCACAGCCAATTCTCTGTGACCATCTTTTGGAGCCATGTCATCATAATCAGCTCACAATAGTCATCTCGTCATGGTGGTCTTGCCATGGCCATCTTGCCACAAGACAACTTGCTGAAGGACAATCCATGCAGGATAACATAACACAATAAATGTATCTGCCATGTTATCTGTTTCTTGTACATTATCTGCATTTTTGCCAATGGAAGTAATATAGAAGAAACAGTGGTGAATAACAATTATCACATTGAGTTATCCGCATAGAATTGTCCTGCAGTGAAATGGCTGTGGTGAGTTGGCTGCAGCAAGTTATCCCGTTCTGAGGTTGAGTAGTTTCTGCACACAATAATTAACATAGGCACATGTTTTAATTTATTGTGCAGTAACTATATATTTCTTTTTCAGTCAATGTATTTCTCTAAAATAGACATTCCAAGATTTGTACTTAGGTATTGGGATAATACTTACTTTACTGTTCATGCTAACTAACAATACTGGACCTAATATGAAAGAAAATCCCAATTTGTTTATTGTATTTTTTTCTTCCAAAAATAAAGATGAATTCATGTGACATAACAAACATTGATTATAAACAATTATAATTACATCTGATCATGCCAGGTGATTCTTTTCCATTATCCTCTATCTGAATTGAAGCTTAAAAAAGCTTGCCACTGCCCTAGCCAAACCTCTATGCACAGTCTATGAGGTATGCTTCAGAACCAGCTCCTTGCCCGACCTAGGGGCATTAGCCACAGTCATATCTACCTTTAAAATGGGAGAACCTAGTAGAAAATTACAGACCAATCTCCCTGTGTTGCATCACCTGTACAATCATGGAATCAATTATAAACCAATCCATCACCCTCCACTTAAAAACAAACAACCTGCTTTCTAACGAGCAGTTTGGTTTCAGAAAAAAATTGTCCTGTAATCTGCAATTCTGCAGAAATATTTGGACCACACATCTTGCCCAGGGTAAAGCAATTGACACAATTTACATAGACTTCTGTAAAGCCTTTGATTCAGTGGTGCATGACAAACTACTGTTGAAACTAAGTTCTTATGGCATATCTGGATCCATGCACAAGTGGATAGCCATGTTCCTGTCAAACAGGCAACAAATAGTCAAAATAGGGTGGGCTACAGCACGAGTTAGCAGCAGTGTTCCCCCAAGGCAGCGTTTTTGGACCCATACTCTTTCTGCTTTACATCAGCGGCCTATGCTAGTGATGGCTAATCTTTTAGTCCTCGTGTGCTGAAAGTGTGCATGTGGGCACATGTGCACATGCACATGTGCCTGCACACATAATGCAATGTGTACATGACCCCCCACCTCCCTGTACATACACACACGAACCCCCTCATGCCATGTGCCTCCACGCATGAGCGCACCACCTCCCATGCATGCGACATACCTCTGTGCATGCATGCCCAACCCTGCATATGCCACATGGCTCTGCATGCATGCGCTGCCCTCATGTGCACTGCCTGCCTCTACGCATGCATGTGTGACTCCCATGTGTACCCCACCTCCTGCACAGCAGATACCAAGCAATCAGCTGGCTAGTGGAAGGCATGCGTGCATGCAGACTGGACCTGAACTGGGGCGATAGCTTGCATGCTGGCAGAAATGGCTCTACGTGTCACTTCCAGCATGTGTGCCATAGATTCACCATCACAGACCTATGCAATCATATTAAAAGCAGCTGCTTCCTCTTCGCTGGTGCCATAAAATTATTTAATACCACGGACAATGCTGCTGCCCTACAAAGCGATCTTGACTATGTGTCAGAATGGTCGTGCAATTGGCAACTCCAAATCTCAACTAATAAATGCTCTGTCCTACATATTGGCAATAAAAAGCAGAACACCAAATATAAGTTGGGTGGAAACGATCTTGTAAACGACCCTCACTCTGTCAAGGACCTAGGAGTACTCAAATGATCTAAGCTCCAGAGCTCACTGTAACAGCATTGCCAAAAAGGTATTAAGAGGTTAACCTAATTTTGCAAAACTTCTTCTCTGGTAACATTGTATTGTTAACTAGGGCATACAAAACCTTTGCCAGACCAATTTTTGAACACAGCTCATCCCCCTGGAATCCATACTGTATATCAAACATTAACACGATCGAGGAGATTCAGGCATTTTACGAGAAGACTCACAATAGAATCTCTACTCACAATAGAATCCCTTATGCCACCAGGCTTGAAATTTTGGGCTTGGACAATCTGGAACTGCGCCGCCTGCAGTCCTATCTAAGCATAATACACAAAACTGTCTGTTACAATGTCTTACCTGACAACGTCTTCTTCAGCTTCAACCACAATAATACACAGGCAAACAATTGATACAAACTCAAGGTAAACCACTTCAAACTCTTTTGCAGAAAATACGACTTTAGCTACAGAGTGGTCAATGCCTGGAATGCTCTACCTGACTCCATTGTTACAGCCTCAAATCCTCACAGCTTCAACCTCAAACTGTCTACATTGGCCCTCATCCCATTCCTAAGAGGTCCCTAAAGGGGGTCTGCATAAGTGCACCAGCGTACCTACCATCCCTGTTTTACTGTCCCCATTTATCTGTATTTACTCCTTGTTCATGTTTATGTTCATACTTATACATGCTATCTAGTACATGCTTGACAAATAAATAAATAAATAAATAAATAAATAAATAAATAAATAAATAACTGTGAAGCAGGAAATATAAACCACACAGAAACTGGATTTTAAGAGAAAGGGTACCTTGGAACAGGTGGAAATTGGAAGTACAAATTTAAAATAAATGGACATTTGAGACCAGAATGGAAGAGAGATGTGATTGGATAATTATTATTATTTGTAGCTTAATATATCGCTTGATAGGAAAAGTAGAGGAGGCTGGGGAAATTGTTGGTAGTATGATTTGGTAGCCATAGTTACTATCCTTTTTTCATAAAGCATTCAATAAGTTTAGAATTTGTTTAAAGAATGGAGGGCTGAATAGTGATTGAGAAAACAATGTTGGAAAGAAAACCAGATTTGGCAATGCATCTTTCCCAGGGAGCCACTATTTTTCCTATTTATTTGTCAATACATAGCTGCTATTGACATAAAAAAGGAAACACATATCCTCTTAAAACATTACACTATAATAAATATTTACTCTGAAAAGTTTTTTTTTACTTAGATCTGTTTCTACAAATAAATTCATTATTTGAAAAGTTTGGTGTATTTGTAAACATTATCTAAAAGGGCATAAATGAATAGCAGTGTGGGAGCAAAAGGAATAATGTATTTTCAATATGGACTATTAAATTTAAAGCATTCTGGTTTTTTTATATAGTATTTCTTTTATCAAATACTATTCACAAGAACTGAAGCCTTTGACTAGTTAATGGAAGAGAATATTTATAGCTCAATGCTGAACTAGGTTTCCCCCCAGACCAATCTAAGTAACATCATCAGTGAAAGAATGGAATGGGGTTTGCTCTTATTTTTTTTATACTAGTAGCTTGCACTGTCAGTGTCAATGGTCATGTTCTTGATGGTTCTTTAATTAGGCTGTTGTTTACTGTTTACTTGCTTATCTGCATTGGTAGTTCTTTGATTGCTTACTTGTTAATCTATGCTCATATGGGTGTTAATTGCTGGTGAGAAGGTGTTTTTGATTTTTCTGTTTCCTTTGGGGTTCTTTTGAGTGGTATGTAGATATTGTTTTCCTTATGTGCTTGTTGATCAGAGGTGGTATTCAGCAGGTTCTGACCAGTTCTAGAGAACCGGTAGCAAAAATTTTGAATAGTTCAGAGAACCAGCAAATACCACCTCTGACTGGAGATTTTACAGTATTCTTGCCCTGCCATGCCCACAGTACCGGTAGTAAAAATATTTGAATCCCACCACTGCTGTTGACCAAATTATCTGAGTGCCAGGCCTCCAATAATTCTCTTACATTTTTTGGACTTGGTTTGATCCAGAAGCATATGGTTCCCCAGTTGACACGATGTTCATACGTTGTGAAATTAAGGAGTTTTCATTATGTACTCCTGACTGCTAATTGGTGCTCAAGGTTTCTTCTGCTTGCTACTGTATATTTCCCTTATTCATTCAACACAACTCTTTTCCTTTTCAGATATGTGCAGTTTTTGAGTGATCTTCTCTCTGGATTGGTAAAAATGAACACAAACCCTCTATTCTTACATTATGTTATTCTGCATGACATCTCAAACTTTGGTATTAGTGGAGGTAAGGCTTTCTTTAAAAAATTACTTATTTTGACTTTAGTCTTCTTCATTTTTCATCATTACCAGAGGCAAAATCTCCATCTTTGCTTATCCTGCGAAATCCCTGTTAACTGTTATGTTGGATGTAATGATTGCATCCTCACAGTGTTTAATTCTCCTAATGAGGAGAATAAATATCCCCTAATGAAAAAGGATCTTAAAGTTTGGCTTTCTAAAATAACTGGGAAATCTCCAGAATATTATTATCAGGGGATTCTATGCAAATGTATTCTGATAAATTATACACTCTGATAGTCTTTATGATTATTATTCTTTTCATTGTTACACAAAGTTAATTTTGATAGTCTTTAACTTATGGCCATGCAACCATGTTGCAAGCTTCTGGCCAAGCACTGACTAAATTAGGCTTTTAAGCATTTAAAAAATTATGTTCTTATATTTGTATTTATACCTATGCATAAAATTTTAATAATGATGCTTCTGACATGGATAAATAATAAATAAAAACTTCAACTGAGAGAAGCCATCATGAGGGGCTTGTTTAATGACCACGTCACTCAAGATTCCAGACCCAACTGTGGTAATAAGTAGAGGACCACATGTTAATAAGAGATACCAACTGGAATTATTCTTTATGGCTCAGACCAATATACTATTATTATCACTGCTACTTATTTATTTATCTAACAGGAATGAAGGGAAAAACATCAGGATTCTGAGCTTTCCAGAACAATGGCGTTTGCTAGTATTTTCATCAGATGTAACATCTATTGTTCCAGTGCACTGAGGATTTTCCTACCAGAGGAGAAATCCCTTATTGGATTGAAGGAATGGACCTTACATCTGGCAAAATCAGTAGCAAATGTCAACATTCTTGTGATTAGTCTCCCTAGTGGGGTAGGAAGGATCCAGGTCTGATGGCATGCCTGGGCTTCATCCAGGAGGCCAAACATTCTCTCCAGCACTCCGCTTGATGGCTGCATGATTATTAAACAGCTGCAACTGGGAGAGCTAGGAATGCGATAGTTGAGTAAAGTGATCATATGGAGATCTTATTTAACGACCACTTCATTCCATGACTAAGATTCTGGCCCCAAATGTAGTCCAAAGTAGGCAGCTAGTTGTTTAAAAGTCATTCCAAGTAAAATCTTTCTTCATGGCATTAGTGGCTCCTACTACTCACTACTACTACTACTACTACTACTATTACTACTACTCTATCTATCTATCTATCTATCTATCTACCTACCTACCTATCTATCTATGTCATTATTAATATGTAGCCAAGTGACTCCTAGATTGAGCCAAGCACCCAATTTAATTGTTTTTCTAAACCAGTGTATCCCATATGATGTACAGCAAAAATAGGGTCAGTGTTACTCAAATGTTACTTAAAAAGTTGAGATATTTGTAATTTCCCCCCTTTTAGGTTGTCAACCATTTCTGAAATTGTATGAGGGCATGCTGCCAGTTTATACATCAGGAGTATAGTAAGTATACAAACAGTTTTGATGTGTGCCTTCTCTATGCACTATGTTATGTTATTCAGATCACAAAGCTAAATGATGTTTAGCAAAATGTGATAGAAAAACAGGACTTAGATTCTAAACTTCATTTTTTCCTGTGTAAAGAATGATATTCATGACTGATGATATAGTCTCAACGGGATTGCATTTTTATTATGTCATATTGGAATTGGAGCAGTTGAAGTGTTTTTCTTCTGAGAATATTTCAAATGTACATGATTCTCCTGTTTTTCAGTAGCACAGGGTTAGAGAAGCAAAGCAGAGCCTGCATTGCAATTGAACCAGCCCAGCTATTAAAAGGAGATATAATGGTAAGTGTTCTGTCTCACTTTTCTTCTTTCCCAAAAGATGAAAGAATACAAACTCACACAAACACAGGCAGGCAAACTGGCTTGGACTTCACAGAGTTAATTCTTTGGAACTGATAATATCCTTGGCATTCTAACGCCCTCTGCCTGCCAAGTCCAAACTGATAACAAATAAAAATCTACTCACAGAAAATTACAAGGCAGTCCACAAAAATCATTCACGAAGAAAATCTGAAGTAAGATTAAACTTTGTCCTGTACAAAGTTCCAGCCGAAAACACACCCACTTTTATCCCCTGTGGGGTGTGGCTCAATGACTCAGCTCACTCTCTGACCCTCCTACATTGCTGCTCACGTTTCTCCCTATGACGCTGCTTAGGATCAAGCCAACACTCTTCCTCTTTAGTCCCTGTCAGGGGCTGCTCTGATATGCCTTCCTCCTGATTAATCTCAGGCTGTTCCTCTCGGTTGTCAGATGAAACCTGAGGCATTATCAGGGAGGAAGGCATTGCCAGAGAGGAAGGTCCTGGGGAGGAAGGCATTCCCAGTTCCTCCTCCTCATCTTCCAGATCTTCTTCCTCTGACAGGAGGATAGGCTCAGGAATCAGGGCCACAACAGGTAAGTGTTCCATAAACTTTGTTTTGGATTATGGATAGAGTTCAGAGGAAGAAAATGCATTCTAGAGTCATTTAAGGACTACATCACTAAATGTTTAACTTAATGTTAGTCAAATCCTATACTATTGTTAGCAGGTTTAATATTTTTAAGATGAGCTCAAGCAAAAAATTGTAAGAAAGGACTGATTCCAAAAAGTACTGTTTTTTAACTTAATTAGTTGGTGAAATATATTTGTATTACTTATTAATTAATTGATTACATTTATATTCCATTTCAATTGGAAAAAGCTGTCAGCAATTTACAAGAAAAAAGGCAACATTAAAGTGTCCACAATAGCTTGAAACATCTTAAACAGCAATATCACTAAAAGGTGTTCTACCAAATTACTCCTTTTGTACGTCATTCTGAATGCAATCAGGGAACGAGCAAGTCTGATTCACATTGGGAGATTCTTCCAGAGGAAGCAGCAGCTTCTAGTCCAATTCCTTTTAAATTTTAAGCAAATTATCTTGCAGATACTCAAGTAATCTGTGAGTCAAACTGACCATTAAATTGTATCAGAAGTCATTTATGACATAGTATGAAAATAGTGCTGAGTACCAGTTAGCATACTGTTAGATTCTGGACCAACTGGAAGTCTCAGTAATTTTTATAAAATCAACTACAATAGTCTAATTGATGGCAATACAGGTATAACTTATAGGTAGTTTTCACTCTTATAGCCATTCATTTAGCATCCATTTGAAGTTATGAAGGTGCTGAAAAAAGTGAGTTATGACTGGTCTTCACATTTATGACCATCATAGTACCTCCACAGTTACGTATCCAAATTTGGGCACTTGGCAACTGGCAGATATTTACCATGTTTGCAGTATCCCAAATTCATCTGATCTCCATTTTTTGCTGACTTCTGACAAGCAAAATCAATGGGGGAAGCTGAGGACTTATTGGGCACCCTGAAAACGTCACTGGAGAAGGAAAAGTGGTCCCAAGCCCACAAGGGGGAATGCATGATGCAAGATGGTTTATCTTGGGTGGGAGCCCAAATTGCACATCCCTGAAAGTTAATGGATGATGGTCTTTCAGAAAAGCTATGACTCAAAAGTTGCGGATCATATTGTTTTTGTCAAAAGCTTGAACTTGGTTAAGTACCAATTTTTGTGTCCCTCACTAAAGAAAAACATAGAAAGCTTATGTAGCCAGCTCCCCTATCTTTGCTCTTGCAAAAGGCAGCAAGGGAAGACTCTTCCAGCCAATGATTAAGCCCAAAGGAAAGAGATTTCAAAGGATTTATGGTAGAGTTATCCGAGAGTTCAGGAAATATCATAAATTGAGTGATAACTGATTTATTTCAAAACAAGTGCATGTTGTGCCCTCTCAAAAAATCCCATCTGCTCTCACCATGGCCAGATTGTTTGTACAGCACATCTATAGACTACATGGAACCCCAGAGAGAATAATCTTGGATCATGGGAGTCTGGTTCACTTCATTATTTTGGCAAGAGTTCTTAAAATGTTTGGGGACCACTCAAGTGCTTAGCTCCTCACATCATCCAGAAAGGAATGGAGGCTGTAAATATGCAAATTGGGTCTTGAATCAATATCTCATGTATTACATTAATTATCAACAGGACAGTTGGACCTTCTTCCTTTCACTAAGGTTGTTTAAAACAACTCAGTACACGGTATCACTAGATTCACCACCTTTATAGTGGTCATGGGGCAGGACTTTGTTTCTATCCCTGAGTTGCCCCAGGCCACCCCAACTGACCTCCTCCTTAAAGGCGTGTAACATCCAACTTCAAAATATCTGGCCAATAGTAAGGAAAGCACTGGAGGAGGCAAGGGAAGTGTAAAAAAAAACAAGCTGACAAAAGGCGTGCGAAACCAAAAGACCTTAAAGTTGGGGACAGGGTCCATTTATCTACCAAGTACTCACAATCTAGACAACTCTTTAATAAGCTGGGTCGAAGTATATTGGTCCTTTCCCCATAAAAAGAGTTATTAACATGGTCACCATTGAACTTGAATGTTCTAAAACACTTAGATGAGTCCAACCAATATTCCATTGCAGCCTCTTGAAACTGGAAATCATCTCTTGCTATGCCCAACAGTGAAACCATCTCTCAACCTGATTATGATTGAAGGTGAACAACACTTCAAAATCAAAGCCATTTTAGACTCTCACGCACATTAAGGAAAAGCCCAATACTTAGTAGCATGGAAAGCTTTTCCATCTTCTGAAACTGAATGGGTGAATGCCAAGCACATCGAAGCTGCTTAAGTTGCTTAAGAAATTCCAGGACCAAAACCCAGAGAAACCTTGTTGAATGACGACTAAATACATCTATACTTCTCTCTCTTCCCTTCTTTTCTCTTGGGAGTGATCTGGCTGGGGCAGGCCTGACAAAAAGAATACTATTACCAGATTAAATTGTAAAAAATGATGTCTTAACTACACATTATGTATATCTTTTAAGTTTTCATAATTTGTAATATAATTATAGGAGGCTTGCATTTATTACATTTATTTATTATACATTTATTGCAATATATTAAATGTGGCCTTAGACACAGAATTCAATACTCTGAGAATTTCTATCCTCACTGTTTTTAGAAAACAACTATTTTTCCCTCTCCCTGGGTCTTGGTTATGGAAAGCCTAAGTCTGGTTTATGCATCTTCTTGACATAGACTATGATTCTTTGGGATACATATATTTATAGTGAAAGATGGAATAATACAGTTCAGTTTATCAACAGAACTCAGTAGCTCATGTCTCAGCTTGTTTGTCCTTTTTGTTGAATTTCACAATTCTCTACACTGACATTCCCAGTAATGAACACCTTAAAATATGCTGTAAGATATGCTGCTTATATATATTTTATGTAGTTGCTCAGGTACCTTGAAGTTTCAGGAATGCATAGATGTATGAATGTTTGTTTATCTGTTTATTTCAGCTCAAGTGTTGCTGTAAAGAGTACCAGTATGGCATTCGGAGTGATGTTTTCCGTCTGCAGTTTCACACAGGCGCTGTTCAAGGATATGGCCTAATATTTAACAAAGAAGACTTGGATGATGCAAACAAAGGCAAGTCTCCATTTTAGAAGGAGAAATTATAAAGCAGAAATTTCCTGCCTCGTTGTTATCTAGAAGTTGGAAATAGTTATCTCTAAGGTTGCATTTTCAAGCAATAAGAACTTTATAATATACTACATGACCCATGACCATTCTTTCAAAGATATTTCCTTATTTAAGAAGAAAAAAAAGAATGACTGTGGGTGGGCAAAAATGCAGTGGGAACAGGAGCAATAGCAATAGCACTTATATACCATTTCACAATGCTTTACAGTCCTCTCTAAGCAGTTTACAGAGTCAGCATATTACCCCAACAGTCTGAGTCCTCCCTTTATCAACCTCGGAAGGATGGAAGGCTGAGTCAACCTTGAGTTGGTAACACCCAAACTGCTAAACTGCTGGCAGTTGGCAGCCAGCCAGAAATATAGCAGAATTAACCTGCAATATGGCATTTTAGCCACTGCATAGTCACCACTGTGCCATCACTACTGTGCCACCTTGACAACTTCTAAGTTCCTGTTGGCTTCCCCACTGACTTGTGAGAAATTGGCAGGGAGTGTCAGAAATCATAATCAGGTGATCAGGGCTGATTGCAGCTATACTGCAGTGGCCACAACTTTGTGAATACAACTGGTTTGAAAATCTTAATATTTCAATTACACCTGAGTAACAGTCCCCAATTTAGAATGCTTTCTTTAAATTAGCATATTTGAGGTACTTTGATTCAAAATATTTTGTGCTTTAATGTATCATTTGTTTTGACTTATGAACTCTTTACAATGAAAATGTCATGGATTTTTTAAGTCGGAATGTAGAACTGGGATTTTATTTTCATGTCTGATATTCATGCAACTCTGTTTTGTATGTACTTCATAAGATCTCTGATTTTTCAGAACTATTTTCTGCTATGCTTATTTTATAGATGATCATTTTCCTGAAAATGGAAGAGTTGAATTGGTATTTTCGAGTTCCCCAGAAAAAACTCCAGGTGAGTAAAATATGATCTAAAATTTACTTCAGCTATTCTCAATGTCTTATTCAAAGGAGGATCATAGAACTATAATTATAAGATTTGGTTACTTGTATCTACATTTTCATTTCCAAGTACAGTTTCTTACATTCTGCAAGTCTCTCCTAATTTCAGAATTCTGTTCGTGCCAAAAATAACATTGGATTCCTGAGTTTTAAAAATACGATACTGCAATCTTGTTCAAACATAAAATTCTAAGGAAAATTCTTAGCCTGGTGGCAGTCCAACTGGAAGCAGTATAGGAGATGTGAACATTGTTTTCCCTGCAAATCACTGTGGAGAGGAGGGGAAAGTTGCTACCACACCATTCTTTTCTGTACTATATCTGCTCAGAAACACACTTGATACTTTTCTTATTCTTGTTTGAAAAAGGCACAACTGCTTATATCCAATGAGTATTATCTCTCTGTCTACTTAACTGCTCCGTTGAGAATTGCTGGTTAAGTCTATTATCTGGAAAGATCCTGCATTAAGACAAAACAAGGAAAGCCTATTTCTCTATATTGTGAAAAAATGGGAAAAACGAAAGAAGCTGTATTATGAAGTTAGATCAATGTCATTTTTGGATTGGTCTTCCAGTTTGAGCTTCGGCGACAGACCGAAACCTCATCTCTCTGAAGCTTTGATCCGTGCTCGCCGCTGGAGTGCCCCGAGCCAGCTGGTTTGGGGGTTAAGCCACACAGTAGAGGTGGTGAAGAGGGGGGAGACTGCCTGCAGGGTTGAGGAGAGCCGCATCTCTCCTCCCCAGCTGACCATTACTCCCTTTCCCGAAGGTGGTTATAGCGGTGGTCAGAAATGGCCACCACAAAGAAGAACTTGACCGGAAAAGAATGTGCAGGAGGAAGATAAGAAGAGAAAGTTTTGGTTGACCGGGTCAAACAGCAAAAGCAACAAATAAGGTACCCTGGGATTTAAACTTAACAATGTTGTTCCCAAAGAAGATTTTGAAGCTGCGAAGGAGAGAGAGAAGGGAAAGGATTAGATTTTTTTTCTTCCCTTCCTTACACTGACAGCTAAGAGACTTAAGCAAGAAACTGAAAAAAAAAATCCACTTTGACATTAATAGGCATCTAAGCTGAAAATAAAAGTCAAAGGGATAATAAAGATTTCTGGACATTTAAACGTTTTTAAAAGCTGGAAAGGTGAAAAAAAAAAGAATAGAAGGGCAGGAACTGGAAAAATGGAGGAGACTGCCTGGAATTAAGGAATAGAACTGTAATTAAAAGGAACTTACAGTGAAATTTTAACAAGATTCCTCAAAGATACATTGGTAACAAAATAATGGTAACTTGGTAACAAAATAATAGAACCCCAGGAAGAGAAAGTGGAAAAAAGAAGCAAGTAGAAACAGCCTTGGATTATTTGGATTACTTGGTGATTTTTGGTTCTTGCATCTAGATGACTAAAATTAACTGGGTGGTTGTTTAAAAGTTTTTAAAATGGTATCACTCTTAGAAGAACTGAAAACGGAACTTTAAAAATGGAAAGAAGATGCACAAGAAGGGAGAAGTTATTTTGGCTTCGTGTTTCAATTCTTAGAAATGGAGTTCTGGAACTAGTAGAAGCAACAAGAAACACTTGCAGAACCAGAAGATTGGGACAAAGAAGAAGCCATCTTTAATGATCAAATAATTTTAAGTGGGGGAAAAAAGAAAAGGGGGGAAAGAGAGTGAAAGGTTTAAGATTAGAAAAAACAACCAAAAAGAAGAAGAACAATTTGAAAGATAAGTATAATATTAGAAAGCAACAGAAGAGGGGATTACAGATGAAAGAGTTAGAAGTAGAGAGACGAGGGGGTAAAAAGGGGAGGGAGAAGAAGAGGAGGAAGAAGGCAAGGAAAAGAAGTTGTAAAAGACAGAAACAAGAAATGGAGAAACAGGGAAAAGATATAAGGATTGTAACCATAAGTTTGTTTAGAGATAATGGGTGAAAATTTAATTGTAAAATGGATTCTGCAAAGGTACATAAGATAGCTTTGTTATATTACAAATAGAAATAACTTTGGAAAATATGATGATGGATAAAATATTTATTGTAATGCAGTGGAATGTTTGTTAATAAATAAATGAATTAAAATGATTGAGAGAATTAAAAGGGAACATTTTTAATTATTAGTAATGATTTATAAAAATATAAATGAGAAATATGGAAAAAAAGAATTAACTATGGAAAGTTTATAAGTGTTCCCAAGGAAGTATGATATTCAATTGAAAAGAAATGTTAAAGATGTTAAGATTTTAATGCATATTAATGGTAGAATTGAATTGGAATGGAATGTGTTTTATTTACATACATATATACATACATACACACACACACACACACACACACACACACACATTCTTTTTAAGAATATAGTGTCTATTTTAAGAATGTACCAAGCAGAATTCAGTTGGAAGTTATGTATTATATTGAATGCTATAGTCTTAAAGCTATACATTGAAGCTTAAATAAGAGCTTGAATGGATAAAATTAAAGGATATAAAGGTGTCATACTCTAATTGGTAACTACAGGGAAAAATTTGCTTAATAAGAAAAGATAATGTGAAATTGTAACAGGACAGACAATGTCTTTTCTATAATATTTAGGTCTTCCTTAAGCTAAATATTTTGATAGATTTGGTCGAGGTAGAGAAATGAGCTTTATATCAGTAAGTAACATGGCTGGATGAATAAAATATGATAAATCTCTAAATTATTATCTCTTAATTTTTATATGGGAATAGCCTTCTATGTGAAGTTGCTCTTGGGACTGATCTGGAAGCTTTGAACAATGCTGAATGCAATGGCTAGGTTGCTCACTGCACACATATTATTGCTAGGGAACTGCACTAGTTGCTGGTCTGTTACAAAGCCAATATAAACTGCTGATATGCAGAATTCTAAAGTATACAGAGTTTTAAAGTGATGTAAAACTCTGGGAAAGATTCTGCTTTTTCAGCTGTGGTTTTCGGGTTACAACTTAGTGATTATACAGAAACTTATTGTTTCTGCAGCATTCCAGACCCTTGCATTTTAGAGAACTGTTAAACACAGATTTAAACACACACTAATTGTTTTTAATTAAAGCAAGCATTTTTATGTTCACTCCATTGCTATCTTATACATAGATTATTTTTATTCAGAAATATTATTTATAAGACAGTGCATAGTATTTGAAAGAGGTAGCTCAGTTAGCTTGACTGAAGTATCCTTCTCAAAATGTTAAAGAAGCCAATCCTTTGAAAGCCTGTGTTTCAAAGTATGTTTGTGGATATTTGCACATATATGTGAAAACATTGACATGACATTGCTGTCAGCATACAAATATTACACATGTACAGACAGCTTTTCATACTTTGTACAGCCTTATTATTATTGGTTAATCTGCAATTTGATTCACAGTCTAGGATTGGTAAAAACTTAACCATTCAAGTCTTAACCAATGACCTAATAACTGTTAAGGTAATGTCTGAGTACATAATAATAACAACAACAACAACAACAATGACAACAACAATAATAATAATAAACAACTTTGGAATTGACAAATGTGCAACAATGGCAATCAAAGCAGGCAAGGTCATAGAAGATGATGGAATAAAACTTGAAAATGAAGAAATGATAAAGGCAATGAAACCAGAAGAAGGCTACAAGTACTTAGGGATTTTAGAAGCCTCTGATTTAATGCATAATAAAGTCAAGGAAACAACTTCAGCCAAGTACTTTTGAAGAATTCACAAGATTTTGAAGTCCAAGCTGAGTGGTGGAAACATCATAAAAGCAATAAATACCTGGCTATACCTGTGATTCGATACTCTGCAGGAATAATTGACTGACCCAGATGGAGCTGGACAATTTGGACAGAAAAACAAGGAAGCTTATGACAATGAATCATGCCTTGCACCGTAAAAGTGATGTTGATCGACTATATCTACCAAGAACAGAGGGTGGTTGAGGTCTCCTACAAGTAAAGCAGACTGTAGAAGAAGAATGACACAGCTTGAATTACTACATCCAGAAAAGTGTAGAGCCAATGATTAAGGAAGTACATAAAGGAGGCTTTTTAAAGACAACCAAGTCAAAAGCTGAATAGAAAAAAGAAGTAATTGAGAAGTGAACTGAAAATTGGAAAAGCAAAGTTATGGAAGGCCAATACCTGAAAAGTATTGAAGCAAAGCTGATCAAAAGCTTACTTGGAACTGAATAAATTCAGGAATACTGAAAAAAGAAACTGAAGGCTTTATTTTAGCTGCTCAAGAACAAGCCTTAGCCACAAATTGCATGAAAGCAGAGTTTCAGCATGTCACCACCAACACCATATGCCACCTCTTGTAATGAGAAAGATGAAACAGTTGACCATTTAATCAGTGGGTGCAGCAAAATTGTACAAACTGACTACCTAGAACGCCATAACCGAGTTGCTAAAATCATTCACTGGAAATTGTGCCAAAAGTTTGGATTTGAGTATAGTAACAACTACTGGGAACATTAGGTTGAGAAGGTTCTGGAGAATGAAAAAGTCAAGGTCTTTTGGGACTAAAGGTAGAAGCCGGATAAGGAACTATATAATCAACTTGGATAAGTATACTTTGATTTTATATTAGCACTAATAAAGCTGAACTATGGACTGTTAAAGAGGAAATTTAATATCAACTGGATTTGATCTTTTTCTTGTTGGAAAATTGTGGTTTAAAAAGCTCTGAATAATAGAGAAGAAAAAAGAAAAAAGGGGGTGAAGACATACCACAATAAAGAGTGCCATCTCAGTTAAACTCAACTTGTTTTTCTTTTAAAAATACTCTTGTTTCTTGAAATTGCATGGAAATTGATACAATAAAGCAAGAACTTTGAAAAATTGAAACATTGTAACAAAGAAAGAATTAGGAAGAGTCTGCCTTTGAGTTGCTGATTCTGGCATGAATTTGGTACTGGATTAGTGGAGACTTAAAAACTTGAGAGGAAGAAAAGTTGACTGT